CGACCCCGTAAAAAACAGGACCGGGTAGCTGTCTCCCGAGACGAGACTCTGCCCTTCGGCATAGCCTCGTCTGGGGATTCTCTCCGCCCGGAGGCAGAGAGTTTTTTCAGCACACTTCCGAAGTAATCCGGAGAGTGAGATATTTACTAACCACCCCACTCGGTCGGATGTGGCACAGGGCCGAGTTTATTGTGGGGTATCCGAATCCGTAGGCTCGGACAAAAATTCCCTGTAGACCCCGTAAAAACGGGGTTGGGTAGCTGTCTACCACCACAGACGAGACTTTGCCCTTTGGCATAGCCTCGTCTGGGTTCCTCTCTGCCCAAAGGCAGAGTTTTCGACAAGCACACCCAAGTAATTCGGTGAGTGATCGCTTAGACGCCACGCTAATTCCCATATATACATTTCCTTTACCATCACATGATTTACTTATTCAACATGGGATCGCCTTTGTTTACTCTCTGGTGACCAGTGTTCAAAATCAAGTGTCGGCAGCGACACTTTATTCCTATATAACAAAAGTAGTACCGATGTCATATTTGGGCAGGAGCTACCCAGTCCCCACTTTCCAGTCTCGATAGGATCTAAAAGCGTCTCCGCGTCCTTGTGGGTGATGAATTATTTTCCACCTTCCAGCCTTTCTCCCAAGACGAGTTATAGCAAATCTCTCACTGTTCTATCGCTATTTCCATGGAAAGTGCTCGAATGAAATATATTCCTTATTTCCGCCAGTTATAACCCTCACGATTGACGCAACACTATCTTTCTTTTCACCACATACATTATTTATGACAGATTCGGCTAAGCTTACTATTTATCTATCTATCTGTACATATATAGGAGGCACGGTGTAGTAATGGATAGTGGCTTGGATTGAGGGATCGGAGAGCCGAGTTCGAATACAATTACGTGCTAATATTCTTGGGAAAGGTATGAATCCTCTTCTTCTCTCTCCAGCTATGGGTAAATAGCAGGACAGATCGGGTTCTATAGCCTTGGATGGCAACTGGTCTAGGAGAAGGACAACTCTGTATTCAAAACCTGCGGAGGGTCGTTTGGGGCCTTCACCACTCTAATCAAATCATATGTGCTGGTGTCTGGGCTGTCGGTTCCTAGGAACTGAGCTGCTTGACCCTCATACGCCGAAAAAACGACGGGAGAGTCCAGCATATATATATATATATATATATATATAAGAGAGAGAAAGAGAGAGAGAGAGAGAGGAGTCAGGCAGCTCAGTTCTATATATATATATATATATATATATTCGGGTTATGACTTTTTGATAACCCTATGTTTTTGTCATAAATTGATGAAAATTTGTTCAAATGTAATGTAAAAAGCATTAATTTGCTTTTGCTCTTGAAAAAGGCCACCTTACCCACAAACCAAACAATTCGATTTACCATATATACAATAAGGCTAAAAAATCAAAATATTTCAGAAGCATTGTTTTTCAACCATGTAATTGGATCGGACTTATGCATTTTTCACGTATGTAACAGTTTATAGCTATAGCATAACATACAACCCTACAAATAAATTAAAAAAAATGAGTTCTAGAAGTTCCAGGCTGTTCTAGAAGGGGCTAGAAAGTCATAGTAATACTATACTTATATACGATTTTAGAAATTTCGTGTTGGAGGTTGTCATTTATTTTTTTAAAAATAAGCTGAATTAAACCCTTCTTTATTGTTTTTTAACAAAAGTTCATCGAATTATTAAACTGGAAATCAATTATTTTATAAAAACTCATAACCCTAATATATATATATATATATATATATATATATATATATATATATATGGAAAAAATATACGGAGAAAACAAACAAAAAGACGATGGACATAAGAGTAAGATTAATCAAAACAGACAACTGTCTTACTCTTATGTCCATCGTCTTTTCATGTTGAATTAAATATAGTCTAATGTTAATTATGTTTTATGAATATGTCCTGAAGATGGTCTACTAGACCGAAACGTCCGACGTTGACATTATATTAACTTTAAAACAGCATAATTGCATATTAGGATTTTTGTTTGTTTGTTTTTTCCGTATATTTTTCTTCATACTGTCGGATCTATATCCATATATTTGCTTACATATATATATATATATATATATATATATATATATATATATATATATATATAATTTAAATAAAAACAGAACCACTTTAAGGTTCCATGTAATAAATTATTTCACCACAGCCCTTTTAAAGGACTGCGGATCATCAGACTTACTCCCCAAACAAAAATGAAAAGAAAATTTACACATTTTTGACGGGCCGTATTAAACATATGTAAATTAACGAAGTGGGGAAGTGAAGGGGGGAGAAGACATGAGTGAGTTAGCATATATATATATATATATATATATATATATATATATATATATATATATATAAAGCGAGAGAGTTTTACGCGTGCTTAAATAGCTTTTTATATCTGATTCTCTGCTGAAGTTTTGAGGCCAGTACTGCAAATATTCACACACTGTGCAACACAGTCTTCCTATTCCATTCCTCATTATTTGAAATTGTTCTATATTTAATCTCAGCTCAGTCCAAATGAAACATGCTGGGGTCACTGAGTGTAAGAAACCTATTGGATTGAGAGTTGAAAAAGCCGGCAGGATCGGCACGTGTGGCGAGTTTTGATTAAAAAGTTCACCTGTGTCCGGATGTACCTGCTAAAGGAGATTTTTTTTTATTGGATTCCGACAGCATCATTCGTTCGCCTGGAAATAAAGATGCCGTAAAAAGAGTTCGGTTTCCTTAATCGAAAATTTCTAAAATCTTTTCTTTTCTTTTCACCATTTCACAGGCAAAAGTTGGAAAAAAAATGAAAGAAAATTACAGAATGCTGCTTTCATCACCATGTCTCTCACTTATGGGTGCGTCTGTATCCACATGATCGCTAGTGAGTTCTGAACAGGGTGTGATAGATAGATAGATAGATAGATAGATAGATAGATAGATAGATAGATAGATATGAACAGACTGATAGATAGATAGATAGATAGATAGAAGATAGAAAGAAAGAAAGAAAGAAAGAAAGAAAGAAAGAGAAGGAGCTATAACTATATCATTATATATATTTATATTCTTATCTATGTATGAAAAGACCGAGAAAGAAAGAAAGAAAGAAAGAAAGAAAGAAAGAAAGAAAGAAAGAAAGAAAGAAATCCATAACTATATATATATATATTATTTTTTATTATAGGATATTGGATGAAAAACATGTAAAAGGCGCTACATGAATGCCATCATGTTTCGATGTGAACTAACACATCTCATCAGGCGTTAGTAATTAACTGGTTAGTAGACTACGATCAGGCAGTGATGCCCATCGCGAAAACACTGCCAACTGTGTGTGTGTGTGTATTTTCTTCTGTTTTGTTTACTGATTCTGTGACAAAAATGGATTGATATACAAACACAAAAATATAAAGAAAAGGCGGGAAACTGAAAAGAAAGAATGACTGAATGAATAGACTCTTTCAAGACAAACGACTGATCGGGTCTCTTTATTTTACATCAATAAACTGGTTGAAAGACTATCAATTCTCTACCGAACACAGTTGTCCGATGTAAAATATATTTGTCAGATCAGCCATCCAATGTACAATTGTTTCATTCATTGCACTGAATTTTATTTTCTAAAAATCAAACAGACTCGCTTCCCCGTCAAGATAGAGTCATTCGACGGGATTGAGTAGGAAAGACCCCTCTTCGGCGGCACTGGACTAAGTCCCCCGCGATCAGGCAGTGGTGCCAATCACGAAAACACTGCCAATTTAATAGAAAAAGCAACATTTTCATACTAATTCCATTAACACTCCAGCTCTACCTTCGATATTGAGCACTCTACCACAAAGCTTGCTTGCTTTAAATGTCTTCCTATCAGTAAAGAACCAACCATTCTGGATTCCAAAACAGTCTTCAAATTAACACTATATATATATATATATATATATATATATATATATATATATATATATATATATATATATTTCATTAAAAACGATAGACAAGGTACTACGGTTAAGCTTTTTATTTAATTTTTCTTGTGTTCGAACAAGAGCTTTTCTGGAGAAAGAGTGTGTAAAAACTGTCCAAAATGTTTTATAGTTCCGCTCGGAAATATAAAGCATTTGGACAGTTCTTACACACCCTTTGTCCAGAAAAGAAAGCTATTGTTCGAACACAAGAGAAATTAAATAAAAAAAAACTGTAGTACTGTCTGTCGTTTTTAACGAAACATGCATAAAAGGAAGGATTGCTGCCTAAATATACAACTATATATATATATATATATATATATATATATATATATATATATATATTTAAGATATATTTATTTTTTATACATTCTTTTTTTTTATTTTTATATATTCTTTTTATATATAATATATATATATATATATATATATATATATATATATATATATATAGGATTAATAGAAATTTGTCACTTAGCTGATTGATGTTATATTTAGCACCTAGTCTCCAGAGTTTCGTAGACAAACCTTTTAGCAATCGCTCTGTCCACTCGTCAGGAGGTTTCAGCAATAGACTGCCTTCTTTGTAAATTTTCATTATCTTTATAAGTTTCATGTAATTCATTTATGCTCTAGTTATTGTCGGCAGGTTGATTTTTTCCGCTTTATGCGTGTGTGCGCGCATGTTCCTTTGTATGGGTTTGTATGCCTGTGTGCTTGTGTGTGCGTGTACATGTGTGTATGTTTGTATGCATCAAATGTGGGGGTTATTTCTCCTTTTCTTCTTCTTCTTTTCTTCTTAGAGTCTCTTCCTCTTCCTTTTCTTTCTTCTTTCTCTTTCGCCTCCGAGTGTTAAAATGTTCTGATGACCATTCCAGACGTGAAGCTACTAGTCACCATTATGTTATATAGAATAGATACCGGTAATGAAAAGAAAGAAAAAAAAAAGCTTAGCTTCAAAAGGGAAGAAGCCTTCATCCCAAACCCGCAACTAATATGCGACGCAGCCAACAAATCCACGACGTTTGCCGCCATTATGCTTCGTTCTTGGCAAAATTGATTTTCTTTCATTCATTTTTTGTTTTGTTTTGTTTTTTATTGAATCGACTTTTTCTTCCTGATCAAATTACCCCCGTGGCCAACAAAGTATCGTGTGAATAACGCTTCATAAAGAAACAAGCAGAAATCAACGGACCAGTGCCGCTACCTTGACGATTCTCTTACAACAAGGAACTTAGATTCATGTCCAATTAGTCCGTCTTTTTCTACTGCTGTCCAACCGGAAATGAGAGAAAGCACAAACAAGATGGCGTTCATTATGCAATACGTTTCCATCGTTGCTAAGTCTCTAATTTTTTCAAGATTCCATTTAATTCCTCCATGAATTATTACGATTCGGATCTTGATCTTGATCTTGATCTTGATTATTATTATTATTATTATTATTATTATTATTATTATTATTATTATTATTATTATTATTATTATTATTATTATTATTATTATTATTATTATTAACGCGGATGCGCGGGTAGTGTAACGGATATCAGCTCAGAATGTGAAATCGGAGACCCAAGTTCGAATTCCGGGGGTTACATTCACTTACGTGCAAATACCATTGGGAAAGATATGAATCCAAATCTATACTCCAGCTATGGGTTAAATAGTAGAACTTGTATCTGGGGGGAAAAAAACTTTTTATGCTCAAAAAGTATTAATGCAATATTCAATCACAAAAAATAATTATTTTTACAATCAGAAATATGTTTCGACATTAAATAACACACAAAGAGTTGAAAAACCGTAAAAAATAAATCAACTAATCTTTTTAACATATTTTTGTGATGTCAACGAATACTCGTTGTCATTTTCGTAATGCTCGTTGTAGTAGAGACTTTGTAATCGCAGATACAACTATAGTAACGTCGTTGAACAATGCTGGTGTCAGACGCCGTCGAATATCACTCGCACTAATAGTACTTGCTCGATAATAGTAATCACCGAATAGTAATCCGAATAGAAAAATCTTTCTCTTTCCCCTTCTTTCTTTCTTTCTCTCTCTTCTCTTTTCTCTCTTTCCCTCTTTCTATCTCTCTCCTTCTTTCTCTCTCACCCTCCTTCACTCTCCGCTTCTTTCTCTCTCTCTTCTTCTTTCTCTCTCATCCTCTTTCTCTCTCTCCTTCTTTCTCTCTCACCCTCTTCCTCTCTCTCCTACTTTTTCGTTCAACCTCTTTCTCTCTCTCTCCCCTTCTTTCTTTCTCTGTTTCTCTCTCCCCTTCTTTCTCTCTCACCCTCTTTCTCTCTCTTTCCTCCTTTCTCACTCGCCCTTTTTCTCTCTCTTCTTCTTTCTCTCTCATCCTCTTTTTCTCTCTCTCTTCTCTTTTCTCTCTCACCCTCTTCCTTTCTCTCCTACTTTCTCGTTCGCCCTCTTTCTCTCTCTCTCACTCTCTCTCTTTCTTTCTTTCTTTCTCGCTCCCTTTCTCTCTCTCCTTCTTTCTCTCTCACCCTCTTCCTCTCTCTCTCCTTCTTTCTCTCTCACCCTCTTTTTCTCTCTCCTACTTTCTCGTTCAACCTCTTTCTCTCTCTCCTTCTTTCTTTCTCTCTCTCTTTCTCTCTCTCCTTCTTTCTCTATCACCCGCTCTCTCTCTCTCTTCTCTTTTCTCTCTCACCCTTTTCCTTTCTCTCCTACTTTCTCGTTCGCCCTATTACTCTCTCTCCCCCTTTCTTTCTCGCTCCCTTTCTCTCTCTCTCACTCTCACTCTCTCCTTCTTTCTCTCTCTCCCTATTTCTCTCTTTCTATAATGTCTGGATGGGTCACTCGGTTTTGATTTTAGAGTTGCAGAGTTTGTTTTATTTGTTGTTGTTATTGTTTTCTATTCAGCTTCTGCTTTTTAAGGTTATGCCATTTATTTAAATATTCAAACCGAATTTGCTTCCAGGGTTCAGTCCCTGCTGAACCCTGTCGAATGATTTTATTTTCAAGTGAATCTGCTTGATTTTTAGAAAATAAAATTCGCTATAATGGATGAAACAATTGTACATCGAATGGCTGACAAATATTTTCTTTATAACGGACAATCTATGTTTGGTGAGGAAGTGATAGTCTTTCGAGCAAAAAAATTAGTAATAAAAATGGGGAGGGGGAACTGATCAGTCGATTGTCTCTCCTTTTCTTTCTCTTTATATCTCTTTATCTCTTTTTTTTCTCACTCTTTCCTCTTTTTCTTTCTCTCTTCTATTTTTCTCACTCCTCTTTCTCTCTTTCCTTTTTTCATTTCACTTTTTCTTTCTTTATTTTTCTTTCCTTCCATTTATTTGTCTCTCATTCACTCTTTTTTCCTTCTTTCTTACATCGTTTATTTTATTCTTGGATATTTTGAATTAATTTTCTTTTCATTCTGTGCGCCTTCCCATTATTATTATTATTATTATTATTATTATTATTATTATTATATTTTACCATTCCCCCTCCTCCTCCTCCTCCTCTTCCTCCTCTTTTCTGTACACATTCCCACTCTGCCTCCTGCTCTTCTTCTTTTACTTATTCTCAGCTCACTTCTCTACCTCCGTCTCCTCCTCTTCATCCTCCTCCTCCTTCTTCTTCTCCTTCTTCTTCTTCTTCTTCTTCTTCTTCTTCTTCTTCTTCTTCTTCTTCTTTGTATTCTCTGTGCACTTCTCCCTCTTCTACCTCCTCCTCTCAGCGCATATTCCCAATCCTCTCCTCTTCCACCTCTTCCACCCCCTCCTCCTCCTCCTCTTTTTTGTGCACTTTTTCTCCTCCCATTTCACCCCACCCAACACACACACACACTTTCTCCTTGTCCTCTTCTTTTTCTTCTTTCTCCGTTATAGCCTCGTCCTCTTTTTCTGGTTACCGACCCTTTCATCTCCTCTTAATCAAATATGACGGCGGATAAGGTCATGAAAGAATGACAAAGTTAACTTCATTGAATCATCGAAATTATTTAATCGATCTCAAGATGATCCGCTCAATTGAATCGTGTCAAATCAATCGACTTAATAAATACAAAAGACCACAGGGCTAAAAAAAAAATGTAGAAGACAATTTAATCAATATGTTTTCTTTTTTATTTTTGTCCGAACTCCCATCGATTGAGTTTTGAAAGGCCATTGCATTGCCCTCAAGTTTTATGCCAATATTTACACATTTTCAAGCCATCAATATTGGTTTTCAGGACTCAATTAGTTAAACAGCTTTCCAGTTTACTTATTATGGCGTTCACATAATTTGCTTGAAGAAAAGACGCAAAATTCTCCATTAGGATGTTCAACTTGCCCCGAGAAATTTTTGATGAGGATGACAGCGGGAGAAGAGAATAAAAACATGCAAACCTGATTCTGGTTCTAATTCTACAAAAGAAAGAAAAGTAAAAGGAAACTGAAAGAAAGAAAGAAAGAAAGAAAGAAAGAAAGAAAGAAAGAAAGAAAGGTAAAAGGAAAGTGACAGAAAGAAAGAAAGAAAGAAAAAAGATAGAAGGATACTGAAAGAAAGAAAAAAAGAAAGAAAGAAAGAAAAGTGTCAATAAAAAGTAATAAATAAAGAAAAAACTAATTTGTTAATTCGATATAAATAAATAAATAAATAAAGAAAGAAAGAAAGAAAGATTGGATGATTAGTCATGTTAGAAAAAGATGAGAAACAAAGAAGAAAAAGCAGAAATGTTTGGATGGAACGTAAGAAAGAAAACATAAATCGAACGCAATAGATGGATTCTTCTTCTTCTTCTTCTTTTTCTTCTTCTTCTTCTTCTCCTCCTCCTCCTCCTCCTACTTCTTCTTCTCCTCCACTTTCTTCTTCTTCTCCTCCTCCTTCTTCTTCTTCTTCTCCTCCTCCTCCTTCTTCTTCTTCTTCTTCTTCTTCTTCTTCTTCTTCCCCTTCTTCTCAACCCTTTTTTCCATTCGTGGTCAGAATCACGAGACAGAATTGCGATCAGAATCAGACAAATCCTCTTATGTCAGCCACAAAGAACTTTTTTCTTCTTTTTCTGCTTTTAAATCTTTCTCTTGTTTTGCCGCCTCTTGATATTTTAATGTTCATTTTTTTTTCTCTTTCTTGCAGAAGAAAAGAAGGATTTCACCAGTCCGAATCCAGCTGAGGTCGTTATATGTAAGTAAATAAAATACACACACACCTCCCCCCTTTCTCCCTCCCCCTTCTCTCTGTGTATGTATATATATATATATATATATATATATATATATATATATATATATATATATATAATGTCTAACGTTTGGGGTGGTACATGTGTACCTAGAAGCTACAGTAAGAGCCTATTTTACACCTAAGAGGCGTTGTTTTGGGGATACCAGTCGCGGTTTTAGCAATCGGTCGGTGGATGATCAGGGGATGCCGGGTTAAACATTCGGCGGAAGAATACGGGAAGCCGAGTCGGCTTGTTGTACTACAATCCGATCAGTTCTGGCAGGTTTACCATTTCCTTTTTCGTTAACTAAATGAAGTTTTCCTTCAGTTTTATTTTCCGCTTTGTTTGTTTTGTTTTCTATGCTACATAATTAAGTGGGAATGTAAATTATTTATCTTTTGAATATGTCGGACGTGGGGAGAGAAAGATTGGCTTCATTATAAATGTTTATCCTGATCTGGTCAGATGCAGTGTTGTTATCCTCTTTCCGTTTTAGCCATGATACATCTGACTGATCTCTCGGCTTGATAAGCTTCAAGATTCGAGCGGAGACTGCATCTGCTTGCACCTGATAAGCCTGCAACGTGACAGATTAAAACGATATTTCATAAGTAGACTGTTCCACTCATAAAAAAACTAAGCAAGTTTTTTTCGGCCCACAAATGTTTCAGATTTGTATTCTCAGAATCGAAAAATATTTTTTTTTATATTTTTATTCTAGATGGGGAATCTTTTCATAATATCGATACAATGTAAAACTGATCCCCGAATTTTTACAGAGTTATCTGAACTTAACTCTTCTGTTTAAGAACTCCCTTACGTAATAGTCAAGATATACATTTTAATTAAAGAAGAAAAATTCAAATAAATGAATAAAAGTATTCGTTTATTCTTCACTGTTGTCATATTTGGGTGGGAGCTGCCCAGTCCACAGACTCCAGAATCGATAGAATCCAAAAGCTTCTGCGAGTCCTTGGGGGTGACGAATCATTTTCCATCCTCCAATCTCTGTCTCACATGTGGGATGTGCTAGTTCTAATCGTCACGGCTAGGACCCGCCGTGCCACTCACACTATAGCAAACCATTCACATTCCCTTCATATTCCATTAACGAGAAGTTCCACTCGAACAGCATCTTCCCGTGAACAACTGCTCTGTGGAACCGACTCCCAAGAGGGTGCTTCCTCGATCATATTATAATCTTAACCTGTTCAAGTCTAGGGCTAACCGTTATCTTCACCTTCTATGCGTATAAACTACCCCGTAACTCAATACTCTACCTCGAGTGGCCTCCGGGCTTTGTACAGGTTGAACCTTACTGTAAAGAAAAACTCAAACAATTATTCTCTTCTGATGTCCATATGCTTCCAAAAAATTCCCTCCAATATAAAAATTTTTAAAAAAAGTTTTAAAAATTCAGAAAATTAAAAACCAAATATGAAAAGCGAATATATATTTACTAATATATTTGCCGGCAAACACGCATTGGACGCACCGTAATTTTTGACATGGAATATTTAGGAAAAACAAATACACGTATCACAACCAAAGACCTCAAAATCATAACCTTACCTTTATATGACCTTCTCACTAACCACGAAGAAACACTTACAGCATTAGTATAAATAATATGAGTGGTATTTCTTTTCTTTTTAATAGAAGTCATGAAAAGTTTAAGTGCCAGAATACAGGGTGTCTCAAAATAATGTATACACTCTTAGAATCGTTATAACTTATTCAATTTATGTATTTTGATTGTAAATACGATTAATACAAGAGAAAGAATACACATTTAAAGAATTTGAGAAAAAAAAAACAGAGAAAATTAACTTTAATAAGATAAAAGTTACTTGGGACAATGGCAGAATGTTCATATAGTGATGAGTTCACATCAAGTGCTCAAACTGATTGCCGTTCTGTTCAATACACTTTTCATATCTTGAAGAAATTGACCTACAAACGTCCAGTATCATTTCCTCTGGTATTTGAACACATTCTTCTTCAATTGCTACTCTCATTTCAGCAATTGTTTCAGGTTTCCTGCTGTAAACTTTGTCGTTTAGAAAACCCCACAAAAAGAAATCCAAGGGTGTCAAATCTGATGATCTAGGTGGGTATTCAACTCACCCTCTTTTTCCAATCCATCTGTTTTACATATTTTCATCCATATAAGTTCTCACATCACGGTAATGTATTATTAACTATTAATATTTAAAGAGTGTATACATTATTTTGAGACAACCTCTATTTTTGAGAAAAGAAGAATCTTAGTACATTTCATGATGCATTTACTGAAAATTATTTTAGTTGTTTTTCAGTGAGCAAAATCTGCACATACAGTAAATTCATAATAGCTACAAAGAAATCTATTAGTGCATATGATAAAAATCAAAAATACAAATATGGTACTTGTTGGTAAATAAAGTCCCATAGCATACATGCAAAAAAGCAAATTCCAATACCTGTATATCAACAAACACACCCACAAAGCAGCAATAGACCAATCAAAGTAAATATTTCTATAAAATCTGGTATTTCGACAAAACAAACAGCAAAATATTATACAATTCCATCATGAATATTTTTATTGATATCATGTTTGTTGACTTTCAGGAGTCCGTGTGTACAATGATTCCTGGTGAACACCAATTTTTTCCGCATCCATTAGACCGATAAATACGGTGTATGTACATATACATGCATATATATATATATGTGTGTGTGTGTGTGTATATATATATATATGTGTGTGTATGAATATCGCAGTGTTCGTATTAATAACACACCACCTGACTATTGCGTTGTGCATGAAACTCAGTCGTGCTACCCGTGAGCAATATATATATATATATATATATATATATATATATATATATATATATATTATGAAATGGAAAACGTCCGACAATTACTTAAAGACGTTTTTATGTTTATACGTTCTTTTTATAGATACAAATATTTAAGTAACGGACCTGATTATAATAAACAGTATTAACGACATTTACTGGCCTGAATGTCCGAGAAATTGTCATAGAAAATGCGCGTCCTCCGAAAGGAATCGAACCTGTATCCTACATGGAACTGTCATATAGCCTGACGTGCTTTACCGATTTAGCCACAGACGTTCGATTCCTATCGGAGGACGCATATTTTCTATGACAATTTCTCGGACATTCAGGCTGGTAAATGTCGTTAATACAGTTTATTATAAACAGAGCATTTACTTAAATATTTGTATGTATGAAAAAGAATGTATAAACATAAAAAATGTCTCAATATATATATATATATATATATATATTTTTATATGGGAATGACATTCTCACATACTTTAAAAAATAAAATTAACTAGTTTGTCTGATGATTGCAAAAGCGTGAAACCCGGGGTTACAAACCAATATCCATGCGTACTAAATAGGTTAGCTCTATCGCAGATATTGACCACACTCCAGTAAGTACCGCCCATATATATATATATATATATATATATATATATATATATGTGTGTGTGTGTGTGTGTGTGATAAAAGTATATTTTTAATGTACGCTATATCAATGGGATAAAGCGTATGTAAATATGCATGAGAACACGACGTAGACACCGAGCGACAACAGAGTCTGTTTCATGCTTAAACTCATCTTCATGCCTTATGACTACATCCTGTATACTTATATATATATATATATATATATATATATATATATATATATATATATATATATATATATATATATATATATATATATGA